TGCTATCATGTCGGTGAAGAACGTGCAGGACTCATTCCCAAGGTGCCAAGTCAATGAAGGACCAGCAAGACCGTGCTGTACAAGAAGGGAGATCCCTGCGACATGAGCAACCATCACGTTATCTGCCCGTTGGTCTACAGATCTTTTACGCGAACCATTTTCAACAAGATCGGCAGAGAGATGAAGGGCAATCATGCGAGCAAGTTTGAAGTTTATCGTGGTACCGAGAAAGTGCACGATGTCCTCTTTTCAACTTCATCAACTTGAAGAAGGCCTTCGTATCTTTTGAGGCTGAAGCCGTCACCAATGCTTTGAATATGCAAGGTACAATGACTTCACTTAGAGCAACGCCATTCTGTGAGGATATCATCATCAGGCGATACTATGCAGGGAAGTGTATAGCTCTCCAGACATCATGCGTAGGTCACGAGGACGGATGGAATTGAAAGGCGACGACCTGCAATCACTTAGCATCGCTTTGCTAATGGCATATCAACATAAGACCAAACATCGTGTAGACGATCTAGCTCAATTTGAAGAAGTGTGACCCCCTTTATGAGAAACCAAAGTGCCTAGTGCTTTTTTTTTGCTCAATGTGACGAATCACCTAATGCTCAAGCTACATCCACCCATTTCAAAGAATTAGTGTGTTGAAAGATAAGTGTCAAAAGAAGAAAGTGTGCAACATGAAGATTGTAACAACCACTGAAAACATGAATAACCAAGGACAATCGACTCATGCACCTCTCCAATCGACGATTGTTCCTGCTTTGAAGTGCGCTTCAAATATTGTGGAAGAGGATTAAATGGGTTTTATTGCGTCCGCTGATGAAATGCTGTCGATAGGGAGGATCCGCGCAGATACTGACGATAAACCTGCTCATCAGAAGCCCGTGCCGTTATCCGCGCGAGTGGTGCCTATCGGTTACACATTTTATCCTCTACCCAGTCCACCACCGCTACAAATCGAAAATCGGGACGTTGCAGCAATGCTAAGCAGAACAAGATAGATTGGGCTAGACATGTAATGCGCTTTGATGAACAGGTGTACTGAACCTGTATTTAATTGATACCATTGAACATATTTGACGCTGTCCTCTTATGAAGTCCTACGACGCATTTTGTTTCTGGCGCGGTCTGAGATCAGTGGAATTATATCCGTCTCAGGGTTGATTCACTGGTACCACGGTCTGCTTGATTACAAGATGCAGGTGATAACATACAGGATGTCGTCAACACTGCGGCAGTGTCAGTCTTACACGTCAGTGTGATCAAATCCCCACACCCATCTCTTCACAGGTCTGCAAAATCTTGGGTATGACTGCGTTACTGTAGTGAAATTGAGATATCGATCACTTTGTATATTATGCTTTTAAAAAGCATGTATTTCAGGCTGCTCGATTCGGAGGGGTTGCTGAAAATCATCCGGCGAACTCAATTCTATCAGAAGCCATACATGCAACGTAAACAGTTATCTATAGAAGCTTCTACTGCGATTTTCAATGAAGACATGAATCGAAAGATGCACTTCTTGATGAGAAAGAATCGACCTGATGCATATCCTGGCCAGATAACCTCATAGTGTAGTTAATTGTCGTAATAAAGATTAGTCATTTTTTGCGTAACACATCACACCCATCTCTCACAGTCCACAAACAAAATTTTATTGAACGCCAGTGCCAGATCATTGCAGGGAGGATTTAGCTGACGACCACTGATGGATGCGTAAAGTCCATTTCTGGCATTCGTGTTGGAATCTCAAATAGCGTGTCATCAGTTTCATCGCGATCTTGTAGTGCATGCAGTCTTCTGTAAA